AATATTTATTTATTTTTGATTAGTTGATGATTGGTTTGCAATACTGGTTTGATTTCTGTCATACATCAACATGACTTAACCATAGGTGTACATATGTCCCCTCCGACACAGGAAACTCAAACTGGGGCTCTGTAATAATCCAGAGGGCTGGAAATGGGCAGGAGGTGGGAGGGAGATTCAAGAGCTAATCATTTCTAGACTGCTTACTTCTCTATTCTTTCATTTTATTTAGGAAAAGAATCAACAGGTTAGACAACACATGGTGTGTATTCAGGAGAGCTTAAGTCCAGAGTTAGTTTCAATGGCTTAGTGATCTCATTCCTATAATTAGGCTCTTTTAAGGTTAGAGGGGAACAGAAATGGGCAAACAGAAAAGGGACTTTTGGATATACCAATAAGCTGTCTAAAAAATACTAAGCATAACCTCAATTTATCTGGAATTTACATTTATCATGCTCCTCAATCTTATACTTATCTGTCAATCAGCAACATCATTCTAGCCAGCCTACATTATTTCTACTTAAACACAACTCATTCATGCATTTTTGCATAGAAACCCATTAATTTGGTAATATACCACTAAATGACTCAAATAAAAGTAGACTTAGAGAATAGCAGTGACTGTCCCTATTCAACTAGTCTCTAAATTTGTTAGATCTTAATAAATCTGTGAATTAATGAAAAGATATGTTATTAAATCTGTGAAATATTAAAGCCAGACATGCGAATCTTTGCTCCTGGCCCTGAAGTCACAGAAAGACAAACAATAGCTGCAGAGGGCATTAAACCATGTTTAAGAGAAAGCTACTATTTGAAGCATGCCACAAAAGATTGACACTTACCACTTCACAATTCCTGTTCAAAACCTAATCCAAAGAGTGGAGTAAAAAGTAAATCAAAGGAATGTAAGTTTACTGCTTAATGTAAGTATTACTGTAACCAAAAGGAGCGGTCAGGCTGCTCTCTGATCAAAAGCCAATAAAGAGGCAAGGTTGACGGAAAGGAAAGTTTGCTTTATTTCAAATGTCAGCATGGTGGGCAGGGGAGGGGAGCTCCTATTCCAAAGGCCAACTTCTCCCACACTAAAACAATCTGTGGGCAAGAGCTTTTATAGATGGAGGGAGGGGGGTTAAGGGTACATGCAGAAGCAGTACAGTCAGTTCTGACAGTCAGCTTGAAATTGGTCATGTGGTGGTATGACCAACATCATCTTGATTGCTTAAGGTATATTAATCTCTAGTTCCAGGGGTGGTTTGTTCCTATATCTTTGAGGCCAGTTCTCAGAACTATGGCTACTTTTGTCATGCCTACAGTCTGGTCATCATGTAGTTAACTTCTTCCACCTGCTGAAGGTTTCAGTATCTATAAGACAGCTCAGGATATGGCTCAGAATATTATCTATAGCCCTTGAGAAGGAACTAAATGTCCTTGACTATGCTTACTGACTAAACTATTATTTGGTATCCTTTGTTTTCCTTTGTTTCTGCAGTTTCTCTTTTCTCTGATTAAACCTATTCTTTGGCTAAAGTTTTTCCACAAACAAAAGGCAGGCTGAGGATATGGTGGCGAGGTGGGCGGCAAGGACCATAGTGTCTTGCTCTGTTTCATTAACACACTCAATTTTTTCTTCTACCATCTATCTTTTTCTTTTCCTAACCTCTAATATAGAGGAGTGGATATAAATGTATGGTGTTTTCCCTAAACTTCCCCTTTGTACCTAGCTCCATCCTATGTTCACACACTACGCCATAATTGCTAGAATAAACCACTTTGACTTGGTCCAACCAACACTTAACAAAAGTTGTAAACCAGGAGGTTTATTTTCATTGTCCTATCAACTTGCTTTCTATCCTTGAGTTCTCATTCAATTCTTAATTTCTTTGTCATCATGTCACCCAATTGTACCTTAAAGCCAACCAATAAAAGTTTCTGCCAATATCTGTTTGCTGTAGATAAAGCTGTATAATTTAAGCATTTTTGCTGCTTAAAAGTAATTTTCTATGTCTCTTAGATATAAAGTCTTCCACCTCAAATTAGATTAAAAATTATATGTCAGTTTCTGTGTTAAGATGTTATTTGTGATAGTAACTGAGACACATTTGCAGTTTATCAAAGAAAACACCTTTTACCAGGGGTTCTTATTTAGGGATCACAGACCTCTTATAAAATTCAGAATGTTCATAAACTTGGGTGGTGGGAACAAGTAACATCTCCATTTTCCCTGCAAAGGCACTGAAAAATAGCATTTTCTTCTATTGTAAAAACTGACAACAGTCTAACACATTATTAGGACTGGGATTGCCTCAGTGACATAAAGATATATATTGTTCACGTTTGTTGTAGTTGTTGCAGATAAATGCTATTGATGTTCATCACTTATTAAAAATTTTGATACAGTAAGTCCCCTACAACACGAACCTTCAAGTTGCAAACTTTCAAAGATGTGAATGTAGTTAGCACGTTCAGCTATGTAAGTTAGTTCACATGTCTGGCATACATTGTTATGTGCATGCCCTCTCCACAACTGGTTGGGATTTTGTGTACTTTATTATACAGCATGGTTACTGTGCAAAGAAGGAGCTTGCTAATGAAGACATGATGGAACTGAAGGCCCAGAGAAAGGATAAAGAGAGAGAAGAGGAAGAAGTAACTGAAGAACCAAAGAGAATCACAACACAGGAAATGGCAAGGGGCTTTTCTTTATTTGAGGAGGCACTTTTAATTTTTGAGACACAGGACCCAAATGTAGAATGGTTAATGAGGGTTGCAGCAGCCATTCAGAATGCAGTCCAGTGCTACCATGTCACCTATGATGACGAAAAATGAGCTACTGCCCAGTTATCACTTGTTTTTTAAGAGAGTAGATAGAATTCAATGCAGCAAAGAACCAGAACCTATGCCATGAACATCAGGTGCCAGTGAAATTGCAGCTTGCCTTCTGTCTCCTATTGCTGACCATCCTTTAGCTCTACCATCTCCCATCTCCTCTTTGGCCTCCATTCAGCAACTCTGCTTGCCCGTTCACTTGATGTCAACCCCTGTATGCCAGCTGTTATACTATCAGTTCAGTTCAGTTGCTCAGTTGTGTCTAACTCTTTGCGACCCCATGGACTGCAGCATGCCAGGCTTCCCTGTCCATCACCAACTCCTGAAGCTTGCTCAAACTCATGTCCATCTAGTCGGTGATGCCATCCAACCATCTCATCCTCTGTCATCCCCTTCTCCTCCTGCCTTCAATCTTTCCCAGCATCAGGGTCTTTTCAAATGAGTCAGTTCTTCACATCAGGTGGCCAAAGTATTGGAGTTTCAGCTTCAGCATCAGTCCTTCCGATGAATATTCAGAACTTACTTCCTTTAGGATTGACTGATTGGATCTCCTTGCTGTCCAAGGAACTCTCACGAGTCTTCTCCAACACCACACTTCAAAAGCATCAATTCTTTGTCACCCAGCTTTCTTTATAGTCCAACCCTCACATCCATACATGACTACTGGAGAAACCATAGCTTTGACTAGATGGACCTCTGTTGGCAAAATAATGTCTCTGCTTTTTAATATGCTGTCTAGGTTGGCCATAGCTTTTCTTCCAAGAGCAAGTGTCTTTTAATTTCATGGCTGCAGTCACCATCTGCAGTGATTTTGGAGCCCAAGAAAATAAAGTCTGTCACTGTTTCCATTGTTTCCCCATCTATTTGCCATGAAGTGTTGGGACTGGATGCCATGATCTTAGTTTTTCTGAATGTTGAATTTTAAGCAAACTTTTTCACTCTCATCTTTCACCTTCATCAGAGAGGCTCTTTAGTTCCTCTTCCCTTTCTGCCATAAGGGTGGTGTCATCTGCATATCTGAGGTTATTGATATTTCTCCTGGAAATCTTGATTCCAGCTTGTGCTTCATCCAGCTGGGCATTTTGCAAGATGTACTCTGCATTTAGGTTAAATAAGGAGGGTGACAATATATAGCCTTTACTTAATCCTTTCCCAATTTGGAACCAGTCCATTGTTCCATGTCCAGTTCTCACTGTTGCTTCTTGACCTGCATACAGATTTCTCAGGAGGCATGTCAAGTGGTCTGGTATTCCCATCTCTTTCACAAATTTTCCACAGTTTGTTGTGATCCACACAGTCAAAGTATATAGTTATACTATACTACTGTACTCTCCAAGGTACTGTAAAATTTATTTTTTATGCATTGTATGAAAAGTATTATAAGCCTATTACAGTACAGAACTATATAGCTTGATTGTGTTAGTAGGGTACCTAGGCTAGCTTTGTTGTCCTTATGAACAAGTTGGACTTACGAAGTCACCCTTGGAATGGAACTCACTCTCGTATGTAGGGGACTTACTTTAGTAGATTCATTGTTACATGTTTTCAAGCAAGTTAATTGCTATATATGTATATCATTATATCACAATTTTTAATATTTTGTTAATTATGTCAATAATCATCTTTAATTGCCATTCCATGTATTTTATTTTATTCGTTTATATATTATTCTTGCCCTCTCTCTCACACACATACACAAGCATGGGCGCATGCACTCAGACAAATGTGCTCTCGGGAAGAAGTCCAACACTGGCACAATGACTCCTCTCTGGTCCCCAGGAAAACTTCCTGTGGTCACTCGAGAACCTTCTGTGTTCTGGGGCCCGCTCCCACCCTGCCTGGCCTCCGAGCTGCACAGCCGGGCCTTCTACTCCAAGGCTGGTTAGCAAACACCTCCGCGAGAAAGTCTCCCCAGCACCGACCCCAGGCAGCTTCCGACACAGGCTTGCAGGCAGCCTGGGGCGCTGGGAGAGCTACCTGAGGGTCAGCCGAGGTGGGCTGGTGGCTCATCATAGGTACATCATGGCTGTTTCTCCGACTTGGATCTTGGCTCCTCCAGGGTAACCACCCAGCAGGTGCCTGGTGGGGGACACAGTGGATCTTGACATTTACAGAGTTTTGTTCCCAGCTCCAGGCCAGGTCTTGTGGCTGGGGTTTCCAGGTGCAGAGCTGCCATGTCCGCGTGGGGCCGCTCCCCCGCGCTCCCGCCCTGCAGCCTGTGCGCCACGCTACGTAATGTGCGTAACATGCGTAACGTGCATAACGTGCATACCATACGTAACCGAGGGTCTTTTGTTTCCGAGCAGCTGCGGCCGCACCCTGCTTGCAGCTGGAGAGGCAAAAGCTGGATCTTTCCGTCCACAGGGACTTCAACTCCAGGGTCTCCCAGCCTTCTGGTGGCTCAGAGGTACTTAAATATTTCTTTTGTTACTTTCGCCACCCTTTTCTTCGGGTCCGCTGGTCCCCTGCTCCTGGGAAAGCTTGGGGGAGGAGTAGAAGCAAGCTCTAGTTGACTGCGCATGAGGCTAGCCATGGGGCTTGGAGTTTGGGATGGGGTGGGTTTTAGCATCTCCTCAAGTTTACGCATCTCCTCAAGTTAACTTGTTTACGATGGCAGTCGTGTTTTCCAAACTCCGTATCTGAAATGGTGTTTAGAAACCAGGAGCAAAGACGTGAACTCCTCCCAAATTCGTGCGCAGCATCTCTAAGATAGCACTTTCAGAAGAGCTGAGCTTGTGGTAGGCTGGTGGTTGGACAAGTTTTTCTCTTAGGCGTACCAGTGGAATGGCTGTCTTAAAAAGCTTCCTGGGCGAGGTCTTCCCCCAGACGCGTAGGGAACCTCCCTGGCCCTGTGCGCTATCCCGGCAGCCATGCCACAGAGGGTAGCCACCTCCCTGCGCATGTGCAAATGGTGAAGGCAGCCAACCCAGGGACAGCCCAGATAATAAAACCCTAGAGAGCGAAGAGAAGAGTTCCTATGGAAATCCCTGTGCTTGCTGGGTGCCCCCTGTGGTCCCAGATAGAATAATTAGGAGCAGCTGTGTTAGCAAATAAATTGCTCCTTGCTTACAAAATCACTACTCACGGATGTTGATAAAAAAGAAAGTTGCCTTTAATCACAAAACCAGCAATCTGGGCAGGTGGTGGGCACATCCTCCCCCGCAAAAACCACCTCTTAAGCTTCTGCTCACCATGAAAGTTTTTAAAGAGAAACAGGGAAGTAATCTCAGTCCATCATTGGAATAGGGGATCAGAGTTGTCACCAACCCTCTCTGCAGGCTTGTCAGCTAGCTCCTTGTGATGTTCTAGACATTATCTGGTTCACACAGTTTGGTCACATAATTTGTTTAGGTTACTGAAGAGGAAGCTTGGGAAGAGATCTGATCATCTGTTAATTATGTGTTCATTTCCACGTCTTTACGGAAAGAACCAACAAGTTGGACAAGGTATTGTGTGATTCGTGCTCAGTCGTGTCCAACTCTTTGGGACCCCATGGAATTTTGCCTGCCAGGCTCCTCTGTCCTTGGGATTTCCCAGGCAAGAATATTGGAGTGGGTTGCCATTTCCTTCTCCAGGGGATATTCCCCACCCAGGGATCCAACCCGTGTTTCTTGTGTCTCCTTAATTGGCATGTGGATTCCTTACCACTGCCATCACCTGGGACACTCTTATTGTGTGATTAAAAGATTGCAAAGATGGGCTTGGGCGGGAGAGGAGTAGAGCATTGGGGTGCCTGGTTTAAAATGTAGTTAAAATACAGCTTTGCTTAAGTGATAAGAAAAAGGGAGCTTCCTGCTGAGGGCAGTTTCCTGCAAAGAGCTGCTAACATTACTATAACATTGTGAGTGGATTGGCTGGACTTAGAAACCAACACTCTCTACAAGTGTTTTGAAATAGATTTTCCTTCCTTGGGAAGTTGAGGTGGGTAGGAGGGAGGAGTGGCCATTTATCTGGAAGCTGAAAAACTGGTTCTTGGGAGGCGGGGATGAGGGAGTAATAGCTGTTACTGTCTGAAACAGATAAAGCCAGAACACTTGCTCAGCTGAGGTCTGGAAAGCGGGGGAGGGAAATCATTCCAAGAATCGCCAACGTGGCATGCACATACACATGCATGCGCACGCTTGTGGGCCAGCGAAATGTTTTTCACATAAATTCTCACTTATTCTTAAAGCTTCAAAGAATATCTCTGATGTGATCTATCAATGGAGGCACAGTCATTTCAGAAAATGACTGAAAAATAATATATACATCTCCTAGAAATAACACCGCTTCTCTGCCTAGACACACGAAATTCAACACATTTTTTTGGCTCTGTGAGGTTGTTTTTAAGACGTGAACAAGAGTTTATATGTCAGTAGACTTTTCTTTAGACCTTTTTAGCTTACTTCAGGTGGTCATTGCAGTGTGTTCATTCCCTGAATTCTCAAATGACAGTGTTTCAAATTTACTCAACATAGGCAAGTTAATGTGAATTGTTCCCGCACAAAGGAGGAACATAGCATAAACCAAACAAAGGCTGCATCATTGATTATCAGCACCTTTTCCAGTCTGAAGTCCTGCCTATAAAAAAAAAATTATTCTTAGAAGGGATCCATGGGATTCACCAGATTACCAAAGTGGTCCAATGCCCAAGAAAGGGTTAAGAATCTCTGGTTAAATCGAAGTAGTACGTCTTTTTGCGGGTGCTCAGTCCCTAGGTCTTGTCCGACTCTGTGGCTCCATGAACTGTAGCCTGCCAGGCTCCTCTGCTCATGGAATTTTCCAGGCAAGAATACTGGAGTGTGTTGCCATTTCTTTCTCCAGGGGATCTTTCGGACCCAGGGATTAAACTTGCATTGGCAGATGGATTTATTATCACTAGTACCACCTGGGAAGCCTTAGTACATCTCTTTGGTGACATTTCAAATGTCACAGAGAATACAAAGAAGGGACAACACATGGCAGAGACTTCCTTTACTTCCTCTGTCCACGTGGAATACACATTAGATTCACTTAGTGTCCTTCTATAAAAAAGACTGATATATGAGTCTTACCTCATAGATTTTGATTGAATTGGTCTGAGAGGCAACTTAACATGAGATTTTTAAAATAATTTCTAGGAAATTCTAAAGAGCAATGAATGCTGATAAGAATTAATCTAAAGGAAACACTGATGCACAAATATTGAACCAGCAAATGGTTCTTTATTGTAGGTGGGAGATACACACACACACACACACACTCTTATATATATATTTGAAAGAGTATGGTTGTAGGTCTTAATAAGAGCAGCTTAAGATCATTTTAGTTGTAAACAATAAAAGTACAGTGCATTATTTTTTACTTACCTTCAGATGCTCTTAAACTTCCAGAGGCTTTGCATGTGGTAAAATACAATTTTAAGGTAATGTTTACCAAGATATCTTTGGGGTTAACCAGATCACTGATTTTTCTATATTCCAATTAATTTTAACAGTAAAATATCTCTTTTAAAATAAGTTATTTATTGTGGTTTAGTTGATTAAAAGTGCCATGTTAATTTCTGATATACAGAAAATGACTCAGTTATACATATATATACATCCTTTTTCCTATTCTTTTCCATTATAGTTTATCACATGATATTGAATATATTTCCCTGTGCTTTACAGTAGGACATTCTTGTTTATCCATTGTATATGTAATTGTTTGCATCTACTAATCTGAAACTCCACATCCATCCCCTGTCCTTTCCTCCTTGGCAACCACAAAGGAAGAACATAACATAGATCAAACACAGAATGTATTATTGATTATCAGAGCGTCTATGTGAATCTGTTTGTGTTTTGTAAATAAATTCATTTGTGTCATATTTTCAATTCCACATATAAGTGATAGCATGTGGTATTTGTCTTTCTCTTTCTGACTTGACTTAGTATGATAATTTCTAGGTCCATCCATTTTGCTGAAAATGCCATTTATTTCATTCTTTTCTATGTTTGGGTAATATTCCATTGTGTATGTATACCATGTCTTTTTTATCCACTCATCTGTTGCTGAATATCTAGGTTGTTTCCATGTCTTGGCTATTATAAATAGTGCTGCTTTGAACATAGTAGTGTATGTATCTCTGTGAGTTACAGTTCTGTCCTGATATATGCCCAGGAGTGTGATTGCTAGATCATATCGCAACTCTATAAAATATCTCTTTAAAAGATAAAATAACTAAGTGACTATGACACCCAGTTGAATTTTATTTTAATGCGAGTATGGTCAGCTCTTTACAACTTGATTATAGTCTGTTTAATTTGACAGGTTCCTATGGGGAGGAAGTACCCATAATGGGAATAAATATAAATAGATGGACAGGTAGATAAATAGAGAGATAATAGGATCGGATTGTAATTTTTATACATCAGAGGAATACTCAAGGGTGAATTTTAAAAATGTGAAGGGTAAGAACACTAAAAAGAGTAGAAGGCACTGACAAGGAGAAAAGAATATTGAATAAGCATGCATGTGTGCAATGCTACATGCTCTTCCTTAATTTAATTTTAAAATCCATTAAGGCTTGTTGAGAAATACTTGTCAAGTGCTTTGAAGTCTTTGGCAGTTGACATTATGTAAATACAAGGGAAGATTTTGACTTAGAAAAGACGCTATAAATTCCATACTCAGGATATGACATTTTACCTAATCATTGTTCAGCTCAGGGTTAAAAATAAATTAACAAATAAGGATTTTAATATAAATATTTTTATTCTATAAAATTTAAGTAACAGAAGTCTCATCTCTATTTATAACAAGTAATTTACATAATGAAAAGAAACACCTTTTGAATCCTCACATAAGAGCATTTTGTCTCAAGTACCACATGTTCTTTCTTATTCATAGGCTTTTTGTTGCAGGTAAAACAACAAAAAGTTAATTTGTGTGGGACAGATAAGGCATAAAGCTCAATTTTGCAGATAAAAACACTTGAAACAATGTTTTATTTGGCATTTTCCTATGCCTTAGTTCATTTTGAATTTTACTCTCAAAAGTTCATGCTATTTCTTTGCATTTGTCCTTGGGTTGTATGCCTGCATTATATATGCCATTCATACTGTCTGCCACTCTGACACTTCTTTGTAATGGAAACTGCTCCATTTAAAACCTTTGATGCCTGGAGAGTCATTATTTATATGCCCCCCTACACTCATCCCATCCTGGCCAGAGCCAGTTGGACTAAGAAGGGACTATTGGCCCAAGAGCTGACAAATCCATTTTTTGGTTTGGGTCAACTGCAAAAAATCACTTAGCCTGTTTTGGAAACTTGAACGATAAAACATAGAAGGGTGCTGTCAGTCAGTGATAAAAAAATGTAAATTGTTATGAGTGAACAAATGTGGAGTGCCATGAAGTTAAAAAATGTAAGGAAATACAAATTGTGAATTATCAGAGAAGGCCAATTGGTAGTGTGAAATAAAAAGGAAGATATGCAGAGTATAGTTGAAAGAAATTTCTATTGGAACATCATGGTGAAGCTCTGTAATAATTGTTGGAAATTTTTCTA